GCCCCTTTTCATGCTCAGATATGGATTCTTAACCCCCCCCCTCCCTTATATTGTTTCCATTTGATATATTCGTGTTATGCATTCATTCCGACTAGGTTTTTGTTAGGCCTTTCATCTATTGCTGAGAAAATTTTCACTTAAAGGCGTAGCAATAGGAACATGAAAAGTGTGCGCTGGCTTTGCGCCGAGGTGGAACGGCACTGATATCGAAGTTTCGTAATTCGGTTCGCGAGCGCCTCAAAGACCATCCAGGGAAATTGGGTGAAGGCTAACGGCAGAATTGCTGATGAAGTAACTAGGCGGGCGGAGCGCGCTCCAGTCCGAGGGCAGGGCTCAAGCCAAAACTCCTTACAATCCTGACTTTGAACATCATTGAGACTGGAAGATGGGAACAGGTGAGGTGCGAAGGATCAGCCTAACGCCTATGCGGACAGATGCTCCGCAAATCTACATATGCCGTCGTCAAGCCGAGGAGCTTTACAGAGACGGAGAATGGAGATGATAGCCTGGGATTACTATTTTACTGATTTCGACATAGGCTACCATTCAGTATTGCTCAAAGTTATATTTCTTTGCGTAGAGTAGACACAGGTAAGCGATGACGCATTGAGAGGACACAGCTGTAAAGCTTGGGATTTTATAGGATCAGTTTTTGATTATCGGTTTTTGCGCAGAGGGCTGGGAACGGGTGCTAGACTATGTCATTAAGTGAATACATTGGAAGAAATCGGCATTCGAAGAGTCATGCGTTACTGATCAAACCTACTGGTTTTTGAAAAGGAGGGAATCGGGACCCAGACGCCACTATTGCATGTCCCTCCTGAATTGGGGGACGGGACCTAGCATAGGTTATGAGTGACCTGTGCATCTTGTTTCGTGCCCTACCCATCCCTTTCCTTGCCCAGCCTCTCCAAGTTGCTCTTCAGGTAAAACCGAATTTCCAGACAAACAAACAGACGTAGCAAGTCGTTCATTGGACGTTCTTCTTTTGAAGTGTAACTGTTACTGTGTTCTTAAAATCATGGTTGATTTCTAGGGATACGGTGGTCGGAACACCGTACTGGATGTCCCCTGAGATTCTCAACAAAAAGCGCTATAATTACAAAGTGGACATATGGTCACTTGGTATTATGGCTCTTGAGATGATTGACGGAGAGCCTCCTTATCTCCACGAAACACCATTGAAGGTTTTTGATTTGTTGCTATGAGAAGCAGTACTGTTGTTTATTGCGCCATAATATTGCGCTATATCTTCAGGCGATCTACCTTATTGCACAGAATGGAAAGCCTGAAATCAAGAGACGAGACCAGCTTTCTCCTGATTTCTTAGACTTCTTAGATCGCTGCCTCGTAGTCGAACCCGAGGATAGGTAAGCGTTCATTAATAACTGCATATTCAAAGGTGGTTTCAATCTGATAACTGCTGCTTCAACGCCGCAAAGTACTCTCCTAAATTAATCACGAGAGTGCTGAGGAAGTCAAAACCCAGGCGGGGCTGTGTCGTACATCTCCCGCTTACAGGACGGCTGTGATATCCATTACGCTACCGGGCCGCTCTTGGCCCCTCAGCACAATGCTTTTTTCCCCGGTAAGCGGGAGATGCGGGTTAGAGTCCCCTCCAAGGTCTGACTTTTGCCCATGGCTCAGCACTCTTGTGATTGTCTGTCTGGAATTCGGTTTTCACCTGAAGAGCAACTTGGAGAGGCTGGGCAAGGAAAGGGATGGGTAGGGCACGAAACAAGATGCACAGGTCACTCATAACCTATGCTAGGTCCGTCCCCCAATTCAGGAGGGACATGCAATAGTGGCGTCTGGGTCCCGATTCCCTCCTTTTCAAAAACCAGTAGGTTTGATCAGTAACGCATGACTCTTCGAATGCCGATTTCTTCCAATGTATTCACTTAATGACATAGTCTAGCACCCGTTCCCAGCCCTCTGCGCAAAAACCGATAATCAAAAACTGATCCTATAAAATCCCAAGCTTTACAGCTGTGTCCTCTCAATGCGTCATCGCTTACCTGTGTCTACTCTACGCAAAGAAATATAACTTTGAGCAATACTGAATGGTAGCCTATGTCGAAATCAGTAAAATAGTAATCCCAGGCTATCATCTCCATTCTCCGTCTCTGTAAAAGCTCCTCGGCTTGACGACGGCATATGTATTAGGTTGGCTAATAAGTAATGGCCGTTTTTTTCAATTGAAAAATTTGTTCGAAAAGTGAAACGTTTTGCAAGCAAGTTATATATCATCTGATAGGAAACTTCTCGTAGTATAAGAATATCAAAAAAGCTTTGGTTGAGGATATAGTTTTTGTGAATTTTTTAGTCGTTGAAGTTGGAAGTGAAGTCGGCGAAAATTAGCATCTTCGACAACTGCCTCTATTTAGAAATTTCATGCTAATAGTTGAATTAATTGAATTTGAATTGATATTCTAATACTACGAGAAGTTTGCTATTAAACGATGTTAAGCTTGCTTGCAAAACTTTTCACTTTTGAAACAAATTTTTCAATTGAAAAAACGGCCATTACTTATTAGCCAGCCCACTAGCAGTTATTAGCCAGCCCACTAGCAGTGGGCTGGCTAATAAGTAATGGCCGTTTTTTCAATCGAAAAATTTGTTCCAAAAGTAAAACGTTTTGCAAGCAAGCTTAATATCGTTTAATAGCAAACTTCTCGTAGTATTAGAATATCAAATTTAAATTCAATTAATTCAACTATAGCATGAAATTTCAGGGTTGTGGAACAGACGTCGAGGCCTGCCAATATTGCAAGGTGGAAGGTCCAACTTTGAAATCTTGGAATTAGTTCGTAAGGTCTAGAGATCCCTTGCTGAGACTTGAACCTCAACCTTTTCCGAATGTATGAATGCAGTCTTTTAATGCGAATTTTAGCCATTCGAGTAGTTCGTAAATACAGGAGTCGAAGATGCTAAATTTTCAGTTCAATTCCTTCCTTCAACTCAACGACTAAAAATTCACAAAAACTATATCCTCAACCAAAGCTTTTTTGATATTCTTATACTACGAGAAGTTTCCTATCAGATGATATATAACTTGCTTGCAAAACGTTTCACTTTTCGAACAAATTTTTCAATTGAAAAAACGGCCATTACTTATTAGCCAACCTAATAGTTGCGCAGAGCCATTCTGTCCGCAGCTAGGCGCGCGTGAACCTTCGCACCTCACCTGTTCCCATCTTCCAGTCTCAATGATGTTCAAAGACAGGATTGTAAGGAGTTTTGGCTTGAGCCCTGCCCTCGGACTGGAGCGCGCTCCGCCCCCTAGTTACTTCATCAGCAATTCTGCGGTTAGCCTTCACCCAATTTCCCTGGATGGTCTTTGAGGCGCTCGCGAACCGAATTACGAAACTACGATGTCCAGTCCTTCCACGTCGGCGCAAAGCCAGCGCACACTTTTCATGTTCCTATTGCTACGCCTTTAAGTGAAAATTTTCTCAGCAATAGATGAAAGGCCTAACAAAAACCTAGTCGGAATGAATGCATAACACGAATACATCAATGGAAACAATATAAG